GACTACTCAATAGAAAATGGAGCCTTGGTATTGGATGCTGGATTTTGCGAACGTTTCTAGTCCCTGGTACCCAAAGCCTGACGGTGCGCAGCCTTTATCAGTACAACATAGAGTTCTGCTGCCTGTCCGAGGTCCGACTTCCTGACTCAGGCGCTCAGGAGATAGAGGTTCCTGGAGCTGACTCCCACTTCACCTCATACCACAGCGGCCCACATGACTCCTCCGGACAGACATGGTGTGGCAATTGCCCTCTCGCAACAAGCGAGCCGTGCACTACTTGCCTGGGAACCAGTCAATGAACGCATGGCTTATGTGCGCTTGAAGGGCCACTTCAAAAACACATTTCTGCTCGCGGTATATGCACCAACGTCCGCTGCTGAGCAGCGCGATAAAGACATATTTTACTCACAATTAAGGATATCCCAGGCCATTCAGAAAGACGACTGAAGTGGTTTTGACACGTTCTTCGTCGTCAACCTGAGGAGCTCAGTGCTACTGCCCTCAACATGAAACTGTTACCTAATTGGAAACGTCGAAGAGGGGGTCAACCCAACATCTGGCTCGACTCAGTCCGTCAGGACATGAAAGGGTTTCTTGGACCTTCGGTGTTAGGTCTCCAGAGCTGGAGAAGAGACTTTGTAGAGAGCTCCAGAACCGCTGCCACGCACGGAGAGGTACCGTCAGTGACATCATCGAAGCCGGCTAGATCAGGCATGATCCCAGCTGTAACAAGTACATGTAAGTACATTGTGGGGGGCAGTGTGTCTTTAAACGCTCCCCCTAGGATGTTGCACGACCTTGAAGTAGCGGGGCCTTGAGCAAAGACGGGGCGCATCGTAATGACGGCTGTCGGCTGGAAGAGTCAAGCTTGATTTCAAACTGGAACCACCAGAAAATCACGAGCCTTCCAGGGAGGCGCTTGAGCCACTAGACTGACTGACATTTCAGTGTGTCCTATCTTCACCAGTAAAGCTCTCAGTAAATTGGTCGGGCATGGAAATAGGTACTTCCATATCTTAGGCCTGCCAAATTGCAAAGCAGTTAGGAGTAGGGTTAGAGTCAGGGCTAGCGTTAAGATAAAGTTAGAGTTACGGTCAAGGTTTGCGCTAGGGTCGGAGAACGAGAATAGGTGCTACCTCAGAATTTACCGCAAGTTCACCTGTCATTCGATGGAGGCGAGGGGGGAATCGGTACAACTTCTGGTCTCCAACCCAGTACGGTAAGGACTGCTCATATTTTCGTCCTAAACGGGGCATGAAAACAGGAACCGCCCGCGATTCAGACGGATTTACACCAAGTTAAAGTGAAATTAGGGTCAGGGTTTAAGGTTCGAGTTAAGCTTTGGGTTACGTTTGGGGTTCAGGCTAGGGTTATGGTTTGCGGTTAGGGCATGGTTAAGGCTGAGATCAGGGCTATTGTTAGGGTTATAAGACAAGAAAGTATACACAGGACCACCTATATTGTTTGAGCGGTGCGGTTCTATTTCAGTGTCCTGTTTAGCGGACAGTATAAACAATCCTTGTTACCGGTACTTTAATCATGTGCTATCACCACTCTTTTTTTAGCCCACGGAGCCTTTTCAACTCTCACTGGGTCAATCTTATACGGACACCATTGCTCGAGGGAGGAAAAACCTGCAACTCTGTGAACAAATAGAATATGCTAAATAAATGACTGCCATCTAAATGCAAACTTACTTTTCAAAATTTAGTTGGCGTATTAGCAATAAAAGCATTACATCTACTAAACTGTGATTAGCAAGACGGGTATAACCTAAACGATCGCCAGACATACACTGGTCTTTTGGGATTTCTTAAACTCCAGACTGTCCAGGTGGTTCTG